TAGCTGCACCAATCCCCCCCTCCCCTTGCCATGCCCCATCATCCGCAGCAAAGTTGGACTCTCCCTTGTTATGCTTGGCTGCTGACTCGTCATTTGAAACTGAAACTTTTTTCGGAACAAATCACTGGGATATCATCGAAAATCATGTCGCTGGATTTGATATGGAGTGAACCAAGAAGAAGGGGGTTTAGATGAGCATATCGCACTTTGGGAGGCGCTGTACCGGCACCTATGTTTGGAAAAGGCGCCACGTAACGCCTGCTTAGGAGCATAATCTTCCTTCGTGCTACGTGTATTTACAATATACGCTTTGTTAATTTGTACCAGTTTAATTTGAACATAACATAAGAGGTATCTTTTATTTCCACTCAGACAGCTGTCATCAGAGCACGTCCTGTCGCTTGGGACAAAATTCGCAAAACCGCCAGGAGGGAAATGGTAACCAAAACACTACTGAATTCGACTCTGTAAATAGTAGCTGCGTAAGGTTTTGGAGACGGTGGAATCAGACCTCACAGAAAAAATTCTGTGGTTATTTGTGTCCCCCGCTCTCGAATCGACGAAGGATGGGAGACTGGAGAAGTAGTCAGGAGGCCATGAAGCTCGGGTCACTATCCCGGACGTTGCGAAGCTACCGGATTTATGATACAAGCTTCTGATCTCAGATGTCATACAAATCGACCAAACGTCAAATCAAGTGTCGCTTCAGCTCGCAGACGAGAAGCCCATGACGCACGAGAAACGTCCCAGCGCTCAGCTCCACATTACCCTAATCTGCTGGTGATACAACACGCGAACCAACACGCAATGCCCACAGATCGCGGGGATCAGGGCACATAATCGCCTTTGGGAGGGGGAGGGGGTCGTATTTGCCTTTGGGATGTTGGAAGAAATTTTTTCCGGTCGTGGTGTTTTCGTGGTTTTTCCTGTATCTTAAGTGCTATATTCCCCCTTTCCACCCCACGCCCCCTCCAACTCAACAGCTCAGTCAGAGGAGAGAACTAGGGGATGGTACCGCATCCGTACGACCCCCCCCCCTTACAGGGGAGCCACCTCCTGTGTAGAAAATTGACGTCACCATAACCCGGCAATCAAGTGAATTGAAGCAGCACTAAAACGCATTTTAGCTTGCAATGCGAATTGCCTTCAATGTAAGCGCTTCTCCTAAACAAGATATACGAGGAAAGTAGAATGGCTGACAAGCAGGAAAACAGTAGTAGAAGTCGGCACGCTAACAATCATCGAAGAGCGCATGAAATCGCCCTACGACGCTGCAGGCAACAAAGTCGCGGTAACTCATGTTGTCAGTCGTAGTCGTGTCGGAGATAACGGCTGCATGGTTGCAAGTCACTCATATCTGGCTTCTATAGTTTCGGGTAGGGAAAGCGGTACCGTGTTTGCTACTGCTGGCCGAAATATCAAATGCGCGGAGACATCTCTCCTATCAGTTGATCGCGAGGCACGTCTTCAAGACGTAGACCCCAGTAAGCATTGTTGCGAAGTAAAAAAAAACAGTGAGATCAGCTCGCAACATGCAGTTATGCCTTCTCGTAGGAGCGGGACCCGTCAGTGAAGCTGACAGCAGTCCGTAACTCCAAAAAGCAGACGTACAGAACGGGATCTTGAGGAATGTACGTTTTGCTGTCGAAACTGATGTGATTACGATTACGATTATGATTTATTATCGGTTAGTAACACAAACAGAACAACACTGATTATATAGCTTGGTGACCGATAAAACATGGAAATGGAACAAAAAGTGAAGAGCGCTAGATATGGGGAGGGGGGGGGGGGTAGGTGGAAGCCTTGGCGGTGAAGAGCAGTGGCCCGCCAACACTGCAAGTCGCGAGAGTTTGTAACGGCTCCGGATACCAGCTTAGTAGGTGATGGCTTTGGAATGTATGCGACCTGGAGTAAGGTGATCTACAGAGATGTGAATGACTACAGAGATGTGAATGGTGAGCTAAATTCGAGCCACAAGTCATTTATTCCTTGTTTATCGTCCAAGAAATATGGTCTGTCTTAAAAATGCATCAGTTTCTTTTCCATGGCTTCTCGGGACGGATACTCAACGCACATTTGTACCGGTTACTGCCTTACTCTCATACAATAGCTTTGAGTGTTTTCCATCACAGAAGCACCACCGGATGCACTGCCAGGGCACTTCCGTTGGGGAAAATTTTGCGGAATACGATGAACCCTCTTCCAGTACAACCCCCTCCATCCAATGAGCGAAACAGCGCTCCCTCCCCCCCCCCTCCCATCTCCACACCTTGTGAGAATCCCGGCGTACGACGTGCTCTGTGCACAGCACATCTTTCTAGGCGTTCGTAGCTTGGCGTCTTTCTGGCTTCTAACTCTTCTAACGGAAAACTCATGAGCGCGGTTGAAATGGGTCACAAGAAATGCAAGAAAGATATACAGGCAGAAAGCATTGTTAGCACTATGCTTGGATGGATTCAATTTAGGACCTCATGACCACCAACGTGTAATAATAGTATGACGCTGGAAAGCTTCGCTAGATCATATTCAGTTTTTGGAGTTGCAGGAAGATTGAGAGTCAATTGAGGTCCCGGTCAGTAACGTGCATCTAGTGTAAGCACTCTAGAGTTTCATTAGCTAAAGAGCGGTTGATCTGGCGGTTTGATACTTTCTTGACTAGCTTATTTCCAGAAGGTCCATCATAGATCCATATAGTTGATCCAATCAATCCATCTGATCCATTATAGTTCTGCAGCCCAGCTCGAACTGGTATCTATCATAGACCCAGCTGTCAGCGGCTTAAGCTATCTTATCCCAGCTGCCTCACCTTGCACCCGGAATTATAAAGTAATGCTTTAATTTACTTTGACGTGGTTGTATCAATAGCAGGCCACTCGCAAAATGACAAGCGGTGAACAATGAGTCAACCGCGAGGTGCGGACTCTCTTACCTGATTTGTGGAGATACACACGCTACACGAGAGGGCAATCACTAAACTACTTAGCAAAAGTGCACGCAGTCGTCGTCCCGCCAAGCCAGCGAACGGCGTCGTGCGGCAAAAAAGATGCTAACTGTCTCTGCGCGTCTAAAACACCCTTTGATTCAGCCGGGTGACTCTCGCTCGGGTGGTTGTTGTCTGCCGAGCGCACAATATCCCATTTGGCTTATCTTAATGCAGTACAGTTAAGGCAGGCTGTCTACCCTCTTTTGAGAGCGGACTTTGTCTTCCGGAAAGACCGGTCTTCCCTGCTATATTAATAACGCTTTTAATGTTAAGTTCGTTTGGGCCTTAGTTACTAAGTAAAGTTTTCTGCAGCGTCACCAGCCACCTCCGCAAGTTCATATTGACGTCGACTTTCGAGAACTTTGGAATAAAGAAAAACAGTAGCGACGAACTTCTTTTTCGACTGCAGATCCGCATGACACCGCGCGGCGGGAGCTAAGGCAGGAGGTCGACGACACAGAAACTACAGACCACCACTCCCCCCACATACCATCTGCAAAATACTGCAGATCCAAATCGCACACCAACAAATGCAAAAGTGTTGTGTGGTTTGGTGTCCTCGTACATGAGAGATAAGAGAGGTGCTCGTCGCAAACAAAAACATACACAACAACAAAAATTCGTTATCCCTCCCTCATTCGGGTGGAAGGAAACCCTCAGAAGAAATCCCACGGAAGTGTGGGCGACTGAGACTTGCCTGCATGGAGCTCGGGCGAAGGACATGGAGCCATATCCTGGGAATTGCGTGCTCGACACGCCTTAGAGCATTTTTGCGAAATATTAAAAAAAAAAAAAAAAAAAAAAAAAAAAAAAAAAAAAAAAAAAAAAAAAAAAAAAAAAAAAAAAAAAAAAAAAAAAAAAAAAAAAAAAAAAAAGAGAGAAGAGGAAGAAGAATATATGATATTTATATTATAATAAGAAACTCACACACGACACAAGAACTAACACACGATCCGGCACACTCACTACAGAACACTATATACTACAATAAAGAAAAGTGAACGGTGTGGAGCACAGTTAGGTATAGCGCGCATGACGCAATCGGGCATTTTATTCATGGGGGTTCATGAACAGACGTTAGGAGCTCGAAGGACACAGGGCAAGCCCTTTTGAGTCCGCGAGCAGTGGGGTTCAGGAATCTGACACGTTGCATGGCGTGGTTGACAATCTTACTGGTAAAGCGGAAGAAACTGAAGAAGAACTCGCGGTTGAGAAGCACCTGAAGACTACAAAATCCGGTCGTTGTGCACTATGATTTCCAGAGGGTGGGCGGAGCATGGCTGAAGCATCTGAAAGCTGGAGGACAATGTAGCGACGGCAGAGAGGGTCTGAGTTGTCCGTCATGCGAGCCGGAGCTCAGGTTCGTATGTCAGACAGTACGGCGGGAACTCCACAGGATTAGGGCCGACAGGTGAGTGGAGTGTCCGCTTCATGGGCGTCTGAAATAGAGGTGCGTGGTGGTTGCTGGGACGGCATGATTGGCGGGTCCTTAAACAGTTAACTCAACGACTTAACCGGTCATCGATCACTTACCTCGCGAGCCGGCAGGAGCAGCTATGCGTGTTGTGACCAGGGCTACTTGCACGTGGGGCAATGGCTTAGGAACCATCACCGGAGTTGCACCTACGTGTACGCATCTATTCATTGTTGGGAAGAATAGAGCGATTGCCATATTATCCCTGATTAGTTTACCCATTTGTGCTAACAGTTTTTACTGGGAGAAGAGTCCTCGCTTTGCTTCGCCTTTGAGGGGTAGGAGTTTGCATCGTGGGTGGAACCTGTGGGGAGCACAGAGCCCATGAGATATTGTGGTCGGTTTGGCAACTAGTGAAGTGGACGGGGACATAATTCTCACTTCACTCGCCATTATCTCCACAGTGTTCGAAGTAATATTTAGGCTATTGGTTTTCTTCTGGAGAACACTAGCCGTAAACTTGATGGATCCTCGGTTTAAGGGCTGTAGAGCCCAATTTTCGACCAATATATACAACGAGGATTTGGAATCAATTTACATTCAAAACAAAAATGACAGCAAACATTGAAAGAACAGAGCACTGAGCGATAAATACTGGGCGATAGTAGGGGCAGAATCACAGACAAGTGCGGGCCGAGTCTTCGAACCGCTCACTTTCTTTCGCGGATACGTAATACGGCACCTGAAACTGCTTTCTAGATCATCTACACTAAACTGTAAGGTCACCATTAGCAACCACTCACCGTTTACCAAAAGATTTCGTTTTCATTGTAACAATACGAGGTGGTCTGGACGTGGTTTGGACAGTGCTTGTTGGCGGAGTGGTTGTTGTGGTCGTTGAAGTGGTGGTAGTGGAAGAAGTTGTTGTACTAGTACTGATGGGGATGAAACTGCCAGTTTTTACAGTAGTCCTTGTCGTCGTGACAACGTTTGGCCGAGGAGTTACTCGAATCGACGGCAGTTTCGAAGGGGGAGGTGGTCGTACCAGGTCAATTTCAGTTGGATCACACGTTTCTTTGTCTGAAGAGTAATATTTGAGCGATTTTATCTAAGTAAGACGCAGAATTTTGGGCACAAAACCCTATTCGAAGCATTAAAGATACAGTACACCTAGTACGTTGGGATCATTCAGCAAAGGGGGGGGGGTCGTATTTGTTGCTGAACGGAGGAGGCGGGTCGTACTTGCTTCCGAGAATAATGCTTTCGGTTGTGAACCTTTCTCATTTTTTGCACGTGCACTATGTGCCCCCTAGTCGGTTGCAGTTTCTCGGGAAAGAAGGAAAAATTGAAGTTGTCTGGAAAAGTAATAAGAATTTGGAAGAAGTTAGGAGGAGGAAGATGGACCGGTAAGATGGGGGAAAAGGAGGGCATCAGAGAGGGGATCATATTTTTTTCCAAATGTGCCCTCCAATGGCAGGGCGGGCTCTGTAAGGATACTCTGCACGCTCACTGCCGAGGGCTATCCTTCCAACGTGCGGGACTAACGACTGCCCCAATACCCACAATGTGTAGCACTTGCGTCGATACCAAGGTCCCGCAGCGAATATGTTGACACGCTGCCTTACGGAAGCAGTGAAATGTACACGGCTCCTCAGCAAATCATGAGGAGGCGCAGGAAAGTAATCCGTCTTGTTCGGCTAGACATATGGTCGCTCGCGTGGCGTGACCCGTGCTTGTGACGTGAAAGGTTGGGTGCAGCCATCTACTCTTCATTTTCATTCCCACGCATTTCTGGGCAGTGAAAGTGGCGCCATTCTGTAGATACGGACCCGTTCATCTCGCACATGGCACTGATCGCTCTTGTAGGTAAGCATGCAGTGCATCTTCGAGAGCTAGGGCATTACGTAGGGCTTAAACGAAAGAATTACGCAGCATACAAGACGGCTGCTGCGTTTTGGGTAGAATAACAGCATTTTAGAACGACTGGATTCCTGATCAGATTCAGCTTTGCATAGTTTGGCAGTTATCTCGAGAAAAGGAATTGTCCCACACAAAAAGTATATCCCACGCCATGTTTCATGAGTACGCGGCCACGCTCGAACTGTCGCAAAATGACCGAAAAGGCAAACGACAGTCTAAGAATGCCCGGATGTTGCCATAGGCTTACCTGGATGAACAAAACAGCAGCATATCGTATGACCCTCATGATAGTAGCACCTGAAGGTGCAGAATTGCACAATTTATTACGTTGCAAAAAACGAAACGAACGAATAAAGTAAATTAGTGGAAGTCGTACCTATCCCCATCTTTCTTCTGATGAACCAAGAGACAGTATCGATACAGTTCGTCTTCATTTCATCGAGACCTTCTGAAAATCTGCTAACTTCACAAAGAAGGCAACCGAAAAATAATTAGCGATTTGCTATCATGTTCGCAGCGTAAAATCCAATTTCTCACAAAATCAAAACAACAACGGCAAAAATCCATTGAGGCGTGCCCGAATTACGTTACAATTATTCTACCAAATTGAAGGCATATGGCAGGATAATTTGGCTTGAAAATAGTAGCAGCGGTGCAATATATTGGGGAAGTGGCGAAAAAGCGAAGTCAAACGGATTTGAAATCTGCGCAGCACTGGACGGGCATTCTTGGACGAGTTTCCCGCTGGCATCGCGTCAAAAACTTTTGGTAGGTACGGCTGCCCATGTGTATTCATATAGGTCAGGGGTGACGCAAAAAGTTCTGGAATTTCGTGTCCTTTGTGCGTTTTTGAATGGCCATTATGGTCTGTTTTCTCTCCGATGGGTTATTTGTATTCCGCAAGCCATTTCGAACTACCGTACGAGTCATCTATCCAATCACTTTCAATTTCTCCTCGCACTGTCTCGAAAAAATCAAAAAGTTGCAGTTGTTGAAACCCATCTTCTGGTCGGTGCTGTTGCTTGAAGAATGTGCTCGCCACCGACGAGAAAAATTTTCGATCACAACTACCGGAATTGTTGTCTGCTCCTCAGAAACAGGTCAACAAAAAGGCCAACGGGCTGGTGAAATCCGTCCGCGACGCAGACTCTTTCTCATGCCTCGAGTCAGCGGTCTGAGGCGAATGCTGTGCCACCGGGAAAGACCTCTCATTCCTTCATGGAGCGCATCGTAAAGATTAATGCTGTCTACTCCCAACAACGCGTTCTCCGCGATGTACTGAAGCCATGGGTGTCGTAGCACTTCGGCCCGGATGGACATGTGCTTCAGCAAGACTGGGAGCCAGCACATCCTGCCAAACCCACGAACTGCCGCTTGTGAAGAGCTGTTTCCCGATTTGTGCAAATAGATCGTTTGCCTCTCCCAACTACATGGTCCGCGAACCCCATGGGATTATTCCATCTGGTCGAGGAAAATAATCTGCAGGATGATGCGCAACGGTTTACCACCTGAAAGTGGCGTTGCTGCGTGTTTAGGACCAAACTACAGCAGAAGAATGCGCGACCATTGTCGGACCCTTTGGAAAACGACTACGTAAATGTATTGAGGCTGAAGGAGGCATTTTTAAACACTTGTTGGAACTTTGTTGTATACGGTCATTGATACTGATTAGATGAAGACTCCCAGAGTTGGCTGATTTCCATTTTCGGACGGTATTTTCATACTTCCGAAGTAATCCGAAAAATTGCGGCCAGAAACTTTTTTGGTGCAACCGCTGTATCATAAGCAGTAGCTCATATCAATCGCACGTCGTAAATGAAGCGATAAGTAAGTACCAGCGTCTATGTGACTGTGAAGCCATTTGTGGGCGGGCGGGTGCAGTGGGCGTTCCGGTTGTCATGCTGAAGCTTGGTAGGGCACTATAAGGGCACTTTCGTTGGGAAAATCCCTTTGGACCGCCTGCTCAGTAGCGTCGATTTCTGTTCTGCCTGGCGTATATATTCCACACGCCTTGTGAATTATCGAGCCACTTGCCTTCAATGGTAAAGAGTTTCTCACGACAGAAACTTGGCGAAAAGGAACTGGAAAACTGTCCTTTGCTGATGTTCTGGCATAGTTTGATCTTGTTTTAACCGCTAAATGGAATTTGAGGCTCGAGAATAGGCGGAGATCGGAAAAGCATGACTAGGATAATATTATGGGAGGGGGAGGATAGTTCAATACCTGGGAACCAGTCCAGAATTCCTTGTGTTGTGTGAGGGCGCCAGCCCAGGGTCCCTCGTGTTAGTATGATATTGCCTATTTCATTCTGAACGTGCATCCTTGCCCGCTGTATACGAGGGTTTTCGAAATGAGTAGTCAAGGTTATAGCCGTGGAGGGTTGATGTTCGGCAGCCACTATTGTGCTCTCCCCGAAATATCCTATTTTTCCCCTTTGTTTAAGATTCAGCAAAAGCACAACGTCTGTGTTTTTGACGAACACTCAGAGTTTATTACGGCTTCTTCTTAGTGCGACTGGATACAGAGGTGGAATAAACGCAGAGCACCCCTTTTTAATTCCCGCTAATATTGTGGAGGCAGCCGTGCAGATGGTCGCCTGTGTTGAGCGAATGTGTTATGCCGGTTCCACGATCAGGGATGGGTCTAGTGGCGGTGACAGTATGACCCCTTCCAACAAACCTCTCTCAGTACAATCCCCTCTCACGACCCACCTTCCACCTTACCAGTTTTTTTTCTGATTCTTAGCCAAATTCCCAAAAATTTTGTTAGTCCCCGAATAAAGTGGTGTCGAAGAGGGAGGAAGTGGGGCGTTCGATTAACGCATGGAAACTTTTCTGTCTTACCAAGCTGAATACAACCCCTGCGACCGATCGATGGGATTCTGCCATGCTGTACCCTGTGGGCGATTCATGCTATATTGCCGATCAGTGCGTGATCAAGACTACGATCGAGTTTTCAGATTCTGCAAAATAGTATTCTCAGAACTGCTGTTGATTGGGTAATTGCAGTGTGGCTGACATTTCACCACTAGTTTTACCAGGGCGCCATCGCGTTATGATCATTTTCCGCTAAATACGACCCCCCCCCAAATAAGGGTCTTAATACGACCCCCCTGTCACGAGGGTAGAAACGAAAAGAAGCGCAAAAGGGATGAGAAAATGACAATAAAGAGAACTAGGCACTATTGAACTATTCCTACCCCAAGAACTCAAAAAAATTTTCGCTGAAACTTTGTCTATAGATGTTATTCGATGTCCGGTGTCCTGACCACGAGTATGACATCATTTCTCCATACCAGCGCTATTTAGCGCTCTGCTGAGGTTGAATTAGAAACAAAGAAAAACAAATATTGGGGAAAGGAATACACTCCAACATCACAGATGATCCGTTTCGCCCGTTATCGTAGACGAATCATCGATGTCTTACCAACCCCGGGCTCCTCAGTACGATAGAGTTGAGACATGGACATGGACTACATAGGGGAAGGAGTTAAGAAAAAGGATAAAGCGAGAAAAAATGCAAAAAAGTTGACATGCAAAATCCATGCAATAAAGATGAGAAGGAACTGTGCAAGGTAAATGAAAGAAGGAAATAACCG